TTTGTATACACGTTTAGTTTGGATGACAATGCATGTTTTGACCATTTATATTCCGATATCGCAATTAGTTAAAAAGATATTAATTACAGTAATTTGTTCGGGTTGAATCTTACAACTCAATTTTGAAGCTGATGTCTTCAACCGATTGAGCTGAAATTTTGTATACACGTTTAGTTTGGATGACAATGCATGTTTTGACCATTTCTATTCCGATATCGCAATTAGTTAAAAAGATATTAATTAAAGTAATTTCTTCGTGTGGAATCTTGTAACTCAATTTCGAAGCTGATGTCTTCAACCGATTGAGCTTAAATTTTGTATACACTTTTAGTTTGAATAACAATGCATGTTTTGACGATTTATATTCCAATATCGACCTAGTTACTGTAACGATCTTGTTCAGGTGTTAAGGCGAGCATGTTTACAATAACAAAGGTGTGGACCGGGGGCGTAGCTCAGATGGTAGAGCGCTCGCTTAGTATGAGAGAGTTACGGGTATCGCGCGATACCCGCGCCGCCAATTATTATTTTTTCGTGTAAAATATTTTTGAAATTCGTTTGATTTGTTCAACGAGATATTTTACAATACTTTCACTCTGTTTACGTACAAAGTATGTTATATTTTACAAGCTTTTTTTTAACTTGCAATGTAAATTGTTAGGGTGGAATCTTGCAACTCAATTTTGAAGCTGATTTATCTGTGTAGATAAATAAACAAATTAAATAACTTGATCTGATTGATTTTAATTTTTAAAATTTTCAAACTAAGTAAATACAAGTACTTAAATCTCGCGACAAGCTTTTATCACATAAATTGTGTAACGCCTTTATAAGTTGATAGCAAAAAAGGTTTTGAAAGAAAAGTTTATTTTATTCTTTATAGAGCATTTAAATAAAAACTTGTTTTTAATAAAGTTTTTTTACTTTTAATTTATTCTGGTATAAAATGTGTTTCGTGTTTTTTCTCCTATATCGTAATGTTAGATGGGCTACGCCTTTACATATTAAAACGAAAAAGAAAATATTCGTGGAATATTTTGAAATTTTTAAAAACACTATATTGTTAACAGAGGTATGAGCTAAAATATTGCAAATTTCCATGAAAATTGAGGCCTTTTTCTGTCTGAAAATGGGCTTCGCGTAAGGTTCAAGCTCTCGTGCTTTTACCGAAGACAGCCTTAATGCACGTTAAGTCTGTCGAGACTCGAAGTCCTCAGGTTGTGTGATGTCGAAGTTTGGAGAGGGGGATGCCCGCTCAGGTGTCCACCCCATGGTTTAACCGAGGTTTAAATTATGTGGTGCATCGCCGATAGCTTTCGTTTTTCTTCTCATTGTGATATTAATAATATTTAAATCAACCAATTAATAAGAACACTTTTTTAAAAAAAATCCGATTTACCGATCAATTAAATTCGATCAACCGAAATGGATCCTGTGTATTTTATTTACTCACTGAAAACAACTTAAGTTTTATGGTCCTGTTAGTTGAATGGTCAGGATTCTGAGCCCTCGTTTGATCTGAGTTGCAAGTTTGCGTTCTAATTTGCTTAAATACTCAGCGTGCAATGGGATAGATGACCATTAAGCATGTCTATGCTGAAATACCTCACGTTGGCGGGATGAGCTGAGGTGCTGATCTTGACATCTGAAGTTCAGTTCAGTTCAATACAGTGGTTAACACTGTAAAAATGGAGACTTGGCAAAGGCCTTATGCTCCGATGTATTATGAATTAGATCTTAGTTTGAGTTGTAATATACGGTTAGTGATTGCACTGTCTTATCAGTAAATTTGACTTTCGCCTTGTGTTTTATTTGAAATTGAAGAAAGTGGAATATTGAAAATCTATTAGAATTTTAGAATCTTTTGGTTGATGTTAAGAATTCTTCAACTTTTTGAACTTGCTCTATTGTTTTACATTTTGCTATTGAGGAATATGACCATTCTTCGTGGTTGGATATAAAAAATTTTTTTAAAGTTTCACGCTGTGATTTGTATTTGACACAGTTTAATATAAAGTGTTCACTCGTTTCTGGTACTTGACAATCTGCACACAGAGGGGAATCTGTTAGTTTAAAAAGGAAATAAATATCATTTAATGGTAATTTTTTAGCTCGCAACTTATTGATTAAGACTTCTGTATTTCTATTTTTTGCTGCCTGTCTATTCCATTTTTCAAGATGAGAAATATAAATATAATTTTTATGTTTTTTGCTTTTTTTCCATATTTCTTCGTTTTTATTTTTGTGTTGTTTTTTGAAATATGTATGTAGGTCTTCCCAAGTAATCCAATGAATAATATTCCATGGTTCTGGAGCGGATTTAGCTAATTTATCAACTTCTTCATTAATTTTTATTCCTTTGTGAGCTGGTATCCAAATGAAAGTTATTGACTGAGCTATTTGGAGGCACTCTAGTAGAGTTGAATTTAAATTTAATATTATCGTATTTGATTTTCTATTAATATTTTGGATACCCTTTAGAACTGATAAGCTGTCCGTCAGAATGACATAGTTTTCGGTTTCAGTAACCCAATTTTTTAGCGCAGTCCATATGGCTATAGCTTCAGCTGTGAATATTGAAGTTATTTCTTTCAGTATAAAATTTTGTCGAACTTTTTTCTTGGGGATTAAAATTCCTATTGACGTTTGATTAGAATTTTTTGAACCATCTGTTGCTATTATGATATTGTTACTAAAGTTTGATTGAATGTAATCATTAAACATATTTTGTATTGTGACATCTGGAAAATCCTTGTTTTGAAATGGTAGTTCATCAGTATAGATTTTTATTTTGTGATTTTCATAGATTGGAGGAGGAGGGATCCACTGAAGAATATCCATTTTAGATATACAAAGTTCTTGGAGCAGGTTGATTGTTTTTAGAAAAATACTGATCTCTTTTTCCCTATGTTTATAAAAAATATTATTTATATCCCAAAATAACTCTGCGTTCGGGGACCAGTCTTTTAATGCTATTTGTTTAGTTATAAATTTTTGGCAAAGGAAATTATGCCGATTAACAATACTTCCATTCATAGATTCTGCTCTTAATAAATCTACTGGGGTGTTTCTTGGGAGACCTAGGGCTAAACGTAAGGCAGCATTATAAATTGGTTCTAATTTTTGTCTGTTGGTATTGCTGGAAAAGGAAAAAAGTTGACTTCCATAGTCTAAGATAGAACGGATTGTGGCATTGATAATATTTAATAGATGATCAGATCTTGTTCCTATTTTCGGAGAAGATAAGGCTTTAATGGCATTTAAATATTTGAATCCTTTCTGACGTAGGTAATGTATATATTTCCAGGTGATATTGGGGTCGAAGATTATACCCAGGATTTTAAGTTTCTTCACTTCGGGAATAGGTTTGTCGCATATTTTAAGTAATGGAGGTATTGTACTTCTTTTTCTGGAAAAGTTGATTAAGCTGCTTTTTTCTGGAGAGGTGGACAATTTCCATTTTTTACACCAGACTGAAATATTATTTAAAGATTCTTGTATTTTGCCTATTGTTTCATTCCAATTTGTACCGCTATTGTATAAAAATATGTCATCCGCGTAAACCAGAAGATGGCTGTCGTGTTGAATTTCAAATATATCTGCCATATAAATCATAAATAGAAAGGGACTTAAGATTGAGCCTTGGGGTACAGCATAATTATTTTTAATGATTTTTGAAAAATTGTTCCTCCATTTAATTTGTATTGTTCTCTGATGTAAGAAGTTTTGTATCCATCGTAGTAATCTACCAGAGTATCCAACTTTTTTTAATTTTGAAACAAGGCCACTTGGCCACACTGAATCATATGCTGCTTTAATATCTAATGCTATCAAAATAAAATATTCCTTGCGTTCTCTAGCTAGTATAATGTCATGCTGTAATTGAAGTAATGTGTTAATGCTGCTTCTATGAGGGTAAAAACCATGATGATTAACATGAAAAATTTTATTTTGAAAGCTGAAATCTAACATTCTATGCAGAATCATTCTTTCTAATAATTTGGC